TTTTGTAAGAAACGTGCTACTTTTTTTGGCTGTGTAACATGCAGAATGAATTTTTTATGAACAACGTGTTTAAGCTAAAGATGTGCGTATAGTTCACTTTATAATATATTGGCCTTGTAGGAGTATATGGCATTCTTCAGGAAGAGGCACTGATACAAAACCTGTTCCTATCCTGGCAGCCACTTTCTGCACTCACAGGCAGTCAATATTAATAGCATATAACAGCGTTCTCCATCCAATTATTCTGAAGACTTTGTTCATCTGCTGTTATGTGCATGACTAAATGGTTATGCCAAGCTGTTGCCATTTTGTCGATTGACAGAAGCCAGATTGATTTTATGTTTTGACCTTTCCATTTCTTAGTCTAAACACAAATGACCACTTATTACCTTCTGTAGACATCCCTAAACTACCAGATCCTTCCTTCCAATACAAGCATAAGTAAGGCATATATTGGAATGCTCTCCACTTGCCTGGATGACCGTAGCTGCAACAATACTCAGTTTCACACCAACGATCAAGAGCTCACTTGATTAGGGTACTTTTTAGATTAAGAGCCCATGGTTTTGAAAGTAGTATACACTAACTAATAAAACAGAACTGAGAGAAGGGGTGCATTTTCAGGATGGCAACCTGTAGTTAATAGTGTGCCACAAGGATCCGTGATGGGATCACAATTATTTACAAAGTATGTTAACAACTTGGATGACAAAAGTCAGTATGCTGTAGCCAAGTTTGCATATAATGCATTCAGATGGGAAGTCTTGTGCTGAGGATGAGAATCTGCGAAGTAATTAGAAGAAAGGCTAGGCAAGTGGGCAGAAACTTGGCAGATGGAACGACGTGGAGAAATGTGGTGTCGTGCACTGGGCAGGAGGAATACAGGAGCTGAATGTCATTTAAATGGAGAAGGACTGCAGAGAGCTACAGCTTAGCTATTTGTGAATCCTTGTTTATAAATTTTAAAAAGCTAGCATCCAAATTCAGCAGGTTAAAAGGTAGACAAATCAAATGTTGGCTTTATTTAAAAGGGAAAAGAGTATAAAAGTAGGGAAGCTTTTATAAAACTACAGCTGGTCAAACCACAGCTGGAGTATTGTGAACAGACTTGGTCCTTTTCTCTAAGGAAAGACATACTGGCATTGGAAGCAGTCCAGAGAAAGTTCACTAGGCTGATACCTGTGGAGGGACTGTCTTCTGAGGATAAGTCGTGTTTGTACTCTTCGGAGCTTAGAAGAATGGGAGAGGCCGTTATTCTTAGGGGGCTTGATGAGGTATGTGTGGATAGGTTGATGCCCCTTACAGAGGAGTTTAATATGAGTGAGCATAATCTGAGTAAGGGCTTGTTACTTTAACACAGGAGGAGGAATTTCTTCTGAGGATTGCGAATCTGTGCAATTCTTTACTGCAGAGGTCTGTTGAGACTGGGTCATTTAAATCTATTCAAGGCTGAGATAGGTGCATTTTTTAATCAGTAAGGGAATCGGAGGTTATAGGGAAAATACAGGAAAGTGCAGTTGAGGATTGTTAGATTATGATCTCATTGAATGGTGGAGCAGACTTGGCCTGAACAGCTTGCTTCTGCTCGTAATCTTACAGTCTTAAGGACAAAGGTGGACTGGAAGTAAAAGTTCTGAATTGGGGAAGGCTTATTTTAATAAGATAAAATAGGATCTGGCCAAAGTGAACTGGGAGCAGCTACTTGCAATGTACTCCACATCATAGCTGTGAGAGACATTCAGAAGAGTAACAGTGAGAGCGCAGAGCCACCATTTTCCTATCGCAGGTCGAGTGGGACCAGCAAGTCCAAAGCATCCAGGAAATCAAGGTATGTACAGGATCTAATAAGGAAAAACTTGTGGTAGATGCTGAGGACTTAGAACAGTGGATGCTGTAGAGGAGTATGGAAATGCAGGAGGTTGCTTAAAAAAGAAGTTAGGAGAGAAAAGAGGGGACATGAAGGACCACTGGTGGGTAACCAAGTGAATCCAAGAGCATTTTCTAAGTATATTTGGGCAAGAGCATAACCAGGTGAAGAGTAGGGTCCCTTTGGGACCAAAAGTGTCAATCTGCGTGTGGAGCAGTAAGAGACAGCTGAGATTTTAAACTGCAGCAAAGGATGACGCATGTATAGAAATCAAATCCTCTCTGGCCGCAGTGGGTGTGCCGGGGACTGCAGGATAGCTAATGTACTATTATTCAAACAGAGTGGTAGGAATAAACCAAGAAACTACAGGCTACATCTGCGGTCTGTAAACTATTGGAGAACATTGAGGCACCAAATTAATCTTCAATTGGAAAGGTAAGATTTAGTCAACGATAGGCACCAAGGTTTTGTTAGTGGAGATCATGTTTTCTCAAATTTTTGAGAAGGCGACTAGGAGTGTAGATAAGGATAGATGATGTAGTCTACATGGACTTCATGGAGGCTTTTGACAATGGTCAAGAGGCACATGGGATGTTTGCCTTTATTAGTTAAGGCATTGAACACAAGAGCATGGAGATTATGATAGAGCTGTATTTCACGTTAGGTGGGCCACTTTGTGCAGTGCTGGTCACCACACTATAGGAAGCATGTAATTACATTAGAGAGGATGCAGAAGAGGTTCAGGATGTTGCCTGGGCTGGAGTGATTCAGCAATGAAAAGAGACTTAAGTAGACTCTGATTTCCTTGGTGCAGAGGAGGTTGAAGAGGGTGTAAATCTTGTTGAGTGGCACAAAGTTCTGAGGTGCATACATAAGAAGAAACTTTTCCCAGTCATGGAGTCACTAACCAGAGACACAGCTTTAAGGTAAGGAGGTAGGTTTAGAGGGAAAAGAAATTCATCTAGAGTTGTGGATGTCTGGAGCTCAGTGTCTAAAGTCATGATAGAGGTGGAAATCCTCAACACACTTGAAACAGAATTGGACCCATTCAGCCCACCATTCAGTTTGAGCATGGCTGATCATCAGACTTGGTCCCCTCTTCCCACCTTCTCCCCATATCCTTTGGCCCCTGTAACCCTAAAACTTTATCTAACTCCTTGAAAGCATTTAATGTTTGGTCTCAGCCACCATGTAGCAGACAATTCTAAAGGCTCACCTTTTCTCCTTATCTCAGTTCTAAATAGTCTACCCTGTATCCTTAGACTGTGACCCCTGGTTCTGGACTCCAGTCATTGGGAACATCCTTCCAATGTTTACCCTGTCTAGAGCTCTTAGAATTTTATGGGTTTCTATGAGATCACTGCTTATTCTTCTACATTCCAGGGGAAAAAGTCCGAACAATGCATGATTGTGCATTTTCCTTATCGCTTTGACAAATTGCAAGATAATTCTCTTTTTGTTTTTCAGCCAGTGAAGTTGGCGGTTGTTTGCCGAGACGGACAGTTGCACCTGTTTGAACATATTTTAAATGGGTAAGGATTGAGATCGTACCCAAACAGCTTGATGTTACCTCTTCTATTTTTGATAGTTACATATGTTCAAAACGTATATGACAGACGCACAAGTTGTTTTAACCTAACCAGTCCAATACAGTGTTCATACTCCTGACAAGCCTCTTCCCATTGCTCCCTATCTAAATCTACCTTTGGAGTCCCCATTCCCTTCTCCCTCACGTGCTTGTCTAGGTTCTCCTGAAATGCAGATCAGAAAATCTCTAATGAGTTCTCTTGAATACAAAGCCAGTTGAGTATTTTTGAAACTGAACTGTGCCTATTTTGTCTTAGTTGAGAGAAGGGAGCAAAACCTTTTTCTCTTTGGTGTTTCAGATAATGTCATAGTCCCTATTGTGGATGATTTATTGCTGAATAACCTTACTGTGGGTGAAACTCTGCTTGTCTGACTTGGATGTCTTAAAGACTTTTGAATTTGTGCAAGAAATACTGCCAATGCCAGAAATCTGAAATAAAAACAAAACTGGAAAATCTCAGCAAGTCTGACAATATCCATGGTGAGAAACAAAGTTAACACTTTGAATTCTGATGAAAAATCCTTGACCAGAAATGTTGCCTTTGTTTCTCTTCACAGATTGAGTGGCCTGCTGAGTTTTCCCAGCTATCTTTTGTTATTTTTTGACCTGTTTCTAAAGTAGTTTGTTTCGCTGTTCATCTAATAGTCATGTGTTCATTTTCAACAGTTACTGCAAAAAGCCTCTCTTGCCGACATGCACAGTACAGATAGCAACTTCAGGAAAAGGCACTGATACAAAACCTGTTCCTATCCTGGCAGCCACGTTCTGCACTGACAGGCAGTCAATATTAATAGCATATAACAGTGTTCTCCATCCAATTATAGAAAGAGTGGTAAGTGATAAAACAAGACAAAATTGAAGTAAGTGGCAGTAGCAGTTTTGCATTGTCATTGGATTTGTTTTAAGGGTGACCAAAATAGAGGGAACTAGAATGTTCAAGAACTTGTAGCTGTTGGCCCTATGGAGATTTTCGTGCAGATTAGAATGTATTTAATGGTTAGCTGTTTGTAAAATCCTGAAAGGTGTCTGCAAACTACCCCTGGTACTTAGGTGGGAACTTGGAACATGGTTGTTCATGTGACCAATTATTTGTTTATTTGCCTCCACTCTTCTTCATATCGTGGGTGAATCAAACTGTCTTTGCTCCCAAATTAAGATATTTGGGCTAAGCAATGAATTGAGATTGTGAACAGTGCCCAAATATTATGACCTAGTGCTGCTTTTAGGTTTATTTCTTTAAGGATCATCTGTGTGCAAAGGTTAAGATCAAAAATTGAGATCCATTCTGTTTATTTTAATTATCCTTTGAATGATTACAGCGCTTGTCTCTATTGCTCTACTGGAAGATCATATCAGACATAAAAGCCATTTAAGATTAAAGAAGTGGCTCTTGATTCCAGATCTGAAATTTTCGTGGCAGTTTGTATGTTAATCCTTTGTCTGGCAGCATGATCCAATACTTAAAACAGTTCAAATAAAAGTAAAATACTTTAAATTCTGGAGATCTGATATAAAATCAACCACAGTACAAACTTTGGTCTGGCAGCATCTGTGGACAGAGAAACTGGGTTAACTGAGTCGTTAGCTCTGTTTGTGTCTTCACAGATACTGACAGACCTGCTGAGTTTCTCCCACACTGTTTATATTTAAAATAGTTATCTGAATTAATTTTTTTCATTTTATAAATTCGTACAGCATGGAAGCAGACCCTTTGGTCCTCCTTATCAATCCAACTCTGCTTTCCAATCTGACCTGGTCTCATTTGCCAGCATTTGGCCCATATCCCTCTAAAACCCTTTCTATTCGTATACCCATCCAGATGTCTTTTAAATGTTCTAATTGCACCTGCCTCCTCCACTTCCTCTGGCACGTGTCACCATCTGCATGAAAAAGTTACTAGTCCAGTACTTGTGAAATCTTTCCCCTCTCACCTATGACCTGTAGTTTTGGACTCCTCCACCCAGGGAAAAAGACCTTAGCTGTTCACCCTATCCATGCCCCACATGACTTTATAAACCTCTATAACGTCACCCCTCAACCTCCAAGGCACCAGGGAAAAAAAGCCCCAGCCTATACAGTCTCTTATAGCTCAAACCCTCCAGTCACGGCACCGTCTTTGTAAATCGCTTTTGCACCTCTTCAAGTTTAACAACATCCTTCTTATAGAAGGGTGACCAGAATTGTATGCAGCACTTCAAAAGTGGCCTCACTAATGTCCTGTACTGCCGTAACATGACATCCCAACTTCTATACTCAGTTTTCTGACCGATGAAAGCAAGCACGCCAAATGCTGCATTCACCACCCTGTCAACCTGTGACTCCACTTTCAAGGAACTGTGCATCTGCACTCTGTTTGGCAGCACTCTCCAAGCCCTACCATGACAAAGTCCTGCCCTGATTTGTCCTACCAAGATGCAACGTCTCACGTTTATCTAAATTAAACTCCACCTGCCAATCCTTGGCCTTTTGACCCATCAGGGTCCCACTACTGAGATAATATTCTTCACTGTCCACTACACCACCAACTTTGTTCTCATCTGCAAACTTACTAACCATACGTCCTATGTTCACATCCAAGTCATTTACGTAAATGATGAAAAGCAGTGGACCCAGCACTTATCCTTGTGGCACACCGCTGGTCACAGACCACCAGTCTAAAAAACAGCCTTCCACCACCCGCCTCGGTCTTCCACCTTCAAGCCAATTTTGTATCCAATTGGCTAGCTCCCCCGGATCCCATGTGATCCAACCTTACTAGCCAGTCTACGATTTGGAACGTTGTCGAGTGCCTTGCTGAAGTCCATATAGACAATGTCTACCTCCTTCAATCTTTGTAACCTCTTCAAAAAACTCAATCAAGTTAGTGAGACACTATTTCCCATGCACAGAACCATGCTGACTATCCCATATCAGTCAAAGAAAAGAAGATTACAGCCCTCCAAATCTGCAGCGACGGTCCTTGCCTTTCCAAATGCATGTAAATCCTGGCTCCCAGAATCCCTTCCAACAACTTACCGACCACTAATGTAAGGTTCACCAGTCTATAATTGCTTGGCTTTTCCTTGCAGCCTTTCTTAAATAATAGCACCCTTTTAGTCAACCTCCAGTCTTCTGAAACATCACACCTGGCTATTGATGATACACGTATCTCGGCAAAAGACCCAGCAATCTCTTCCCTAGCTTCCCACAAAGTTCTGGTAGACACCTGATTAGTTCTCAGGAATTTATCTACCTCTTATGCGTTTCAAGGTCTCCAGCACTACTACTTTTGTAATATGAGCTCTTTTCAAGATATCTCAATTTATTTCCTGAAGAGGCTGAGGGGTGACCTTACAGAAGTTTATAAAATCATGAGGGGCATGGGATGGGTGAATAACCAAGGTGTTTTCCCCCGGGTAGGGGAGTCCAAAACTAGAAGGCATAGGTTTAGGGTGAGAGGGGAAAGACTCAAAAAGGACCTAAGGGGCAACTTGTTCGCGCAGAGGCTGGTGCACGTATGGAATAAACTGCCAGAGGGAAGTGGTGGAGGCTGGTACGGTTACAATGATGGGTATATGAAAAGGAGGGATATGGGCCAAATGCTGGCAAATGTGACTAGACTAGTTTAGGATAGCTGGTTGGCATGGACAAGTTGGACTGAAGGATCTGTTTCCATGTAATACATTTCTATGACACGTATGTTCCCTAGCTTCTATATCTTTCTCCACAGTAGACAGTGGTGCACAATATTCGTTTAGTATCTCGCCCATCTCCTGTGGTTCTGTGCATAAACGACCACATTGATCTTTAAGGGGCCCGATTCTCTCCTTAGTTGCTCTTTTGTGCTTAATGTATTTATAGAATCTGTTTGGATTCTCATTAACTCTATTTTCCAAAACTATCTTATGTCCCCTTTTGACCGTCCTGATTTTCCTCTTCAGTACACTGCTACTGCCCTTATGCTGTTCAAGGGATTCACTCAATCCCATCTGTCTATACCTGATGTATGCCGCCTAATTTTGTTTGACCAGAGCCTCAATTTCTTCAGTAATGTAGCATTCCCTACACCTGCCAGCCTTGCCCTTCACACTAACACAAACATACTGTGTCTGAACTCCTGATATCTCATTCTTAAAAGCCCTTAACACTTCCAAACCGTCCCTTTACCTCTGACAGCCTCCTGCAATCAAGTTTTGAAAGTGTCTGTCTAATACTGTCAAAATTGGCCTTACTCCTATTTAAACTAGCTTTTTGATGAGTTCTATCTTTTTCCATAACTATTTTAAGACTAATAGAATAATGATCACTTGCCCCAAAGTGCTCCTCCGTTGACACCTGTCACTTGCCCTGACTTATTTCTCAACAGAAGGTTAAACATTGCTCCTTCCCCAGTAGGCAGATCTATATATTGAATAATAGTTTTCTTGTACACACTTAAATTCTTCCCATCCAAGCCCTTAACTCTATGACAGCCCCAGTCTATGTTTGGAAATTTAAAATCCCCTACCATTACAACCCTATTTTTCTCACAGATGTGAGATTTCCTCACATATTTGCTTCTCAATTTCCTACTGATTATTGAGGGGGCCTATAATATAAACCTAACCAGGTGATCATCCCTTTCTTATTTTTATACTGCATTCATATAACTTTACTGGACAAGCTCCCAGGCATATCCTCCTTAAGTACAGTTGTAACGTTCTCCCTAATTAAAAACACCGCTCGCCCCCTCTTCTCTTGCCTCCCTTTCTATCTTTCCTATAACATCTATACCCTGGAAATTAAGCTGCCAGTCCTGTCTATCCCTGAACCACGTTTCCATAACAGCTATGATATCCTAGTCCCATGTTCCCAACCATACCCCAGGCTTATCTGTCAGGCCTCTTGCATTGAAGTAAATGCAGCCTAACTTATCAGTCTTACCTTCTTCTCTGCCACGCTCTTGTCTGCCTTGACTAATAGACTTGCTCCCTTCATCTATCGTACCAGCCCCAGCGTCAACCTCTTTTTTTTTTTTTCTCACTATCTCTTAGGTTCCCAATCTCCCACTAGTTTAAACCCTCCTGAGTAGCTCTAGCAAATTTTCCCTGTTGAATGATTCTCTGTTACAAAACCATGGTTGTGTTTGAATTAGTAATGGTTGGTGGTTCTCATTTCAGACATTAAACACCACTGAATCCCACATTTGTCTGGTAAGAGACACACAGATGACAGTGGCAATCACAACCGAAACAGCTATAACAAAGGTAAACAAAAGGGTGTGACAATAAATGTTAAGTTTAATTCTTCAGGAGGAATGCCATTATTTGTTTTGTAAAATTTCATTACATGCTTCAAAACCATTGCAAATGAAGATACAATATTCTTTAATTTTCTGAGGAATGGTAGTGCATTTTGGATGGTGACAGACCTTTTTTATTTTCCTTTCTGTTAAGTCGTTCCACTTCCCTGTGGCGACGAGGTTAAACTGTTTAGTGACTAAGTAAGAGAATTGACATGTTTATTGCAGATTTGATTTTGGAATTTGTTATATTTAGTCATAAGCAAAAGAAAATCATTTACTGAGGGAAGCAACATGAATTGTGTAGAAAATGTGAATTTCTGACTAGTTACTTGGAACAGTATGAAGTTTTAATTAAATATAGGTTGTAAGATCATTAGCTGTGCAGAACCTGTCCTACCATGTTCATCAGGAACCGTTGGCCTATTTTTTCTTGTAGGTGAAAACTCCAATAATAACCTCTGGAGTTAAGGTGTTAGTGCCTGGTATCCCTGGACATAATACAAGCATCAAACACACAATGAGTGAATCAAGAAAGGATGAAAATAAGAGGAGGAAGGACCCTGAAAATGAGGTACCCAACAGCTTGGCCGAGTTTTCAGGGATGCATTCTGAAACCCTTTTAGTCTATCACGCTTTGTGGAACTCTGTATCTTAAAAGCCTGATGTCAGACTATTTTGCCTAAAAGTGTTTTGGTAGGGATTAATTTCATATTTTTCTGTAAGTGCCTGGTTCAACCTGAAATTCAAAACTAATCTAGAATTATACTTTTCTCTCTAACGAATTTAAGACTGCAGCAGAACTTTAATCCATCTGTAAAGTTAATGACAAAGTCTGCAGCTTTAGTGAGGTACATTGAAATTATCTGAATTTTTTTTCTTAGTACAAATGAGCAATTTTGCTGTTGCTGATTTTGTTAATTCAAGCATCTTATGCCAATAATGATTAAATTATCTGTCGCAGACTGTAGATTCATTGGCTCCAAAACACTCCATTATTTAGTTTTTCCGTGTAAACTGAATTATAGTTGGACTATGCAGGAAAAAAGCGTGTGGCATCATGCAAGAGTGACTGTTATGTTCTTTTGTACTTTCTACAGCAGAGTATTGAGGAACGTCTGTGCGCCATGGATATTGATGTGATGAAAATGAGGAATAAATCTGGCCTTCCGCAGACTGACAGCTTTGCGGTGCTGCTTGTACAAGGTTTAGAAAGTAGTGACTCATCTATTCTAAATGTAAGACATTCCTATTGCATGTGCAATCATCTTTTCGCAACAATTTGCAGATTATCTGCATGATAAATTCTGAGCATTTTTACCAACTGAACGTTTTTCTAGAATTATTTAGAATTTACAGTGCAACAATGCCTATCCACATCAGGTCCCATTTTGGCATATATGCTCTGTGAATTTCTAACCAATTGCTATTTTTAAAAATCTTAAATCACAATCTTATATTTGTTTCTTCCATGTTAACCAGTATCTCTCTAAATACGTCTATTTGTTTCAATTCTGTATTCTTAAATACAGTTCTATCAAGTCACCTCTCAATCTTCTGTAGAAAAAAAGAGCACCAGTCTATACAATCTTTTCAGATTAGTATAAATCTGATTTGGTTTTTTAAGTCATTCACGGGATGAGGTCATCACTGGTTAGGCCAACATTTATTGCCCATCCCTGATTGTTCAGAGGGTAGTCAGCCACATTGCTGTGGGTGTGGAGTCACATTTAGGCCAGACCAGATAAGGATTGCAGTTTCCTCCCCTAATGGAATCGAGAGAACCAGACAATCGACAGTGGATTCATGGCCTGTCATTAGACCCTGAATTCCACCATCTGCTGTGGTGGGATTAGAACCTGGATCCTCAGAATCTTACCTGGATCAACAGCCTAGCAACAATGCCACGAGGCCAGCGCCTCCACTAAATTATGCTATTAAGTTGATCCCAGTGTTCCATATCCTTTTTATAGCATGCTGGGTGAAACTGCACAGAGTACTGTAAAGCTTGCTTTGTGCATGCAGTTTCCACAGTTGATTATTTCATGAATTTTGTCTTGAATTTCATGAACACTGTTAGTATGTACCATTCCAGCAGCGATTTGATTTTCATTAGTTTCTGAATCATAGTCATGCAGTGCAGAGAAGGCCCTTTGGCCCATCAACTCTGTACAGACAAAAAAGACCATCATCTATCTACTCTAATTCCACTGTCCACCACTTGGCCCTTAGCCACAAATACTAATACAAATACAAATACAAATTGTATGACATTTCAAGTACCCATCCAAGTATTTTCTTTTTAAATGTTGAGGTTTCCTGCCTGTAATACCCTCCTAGACATTGCATTCCAGATTTTCAGCACCCACTGGGTACAATCCACTTACCACAAATACCGCCTAACCCTCCTGCTCCTCACCTTAAAATTACACCTCGTTGTTATTGACCTAAGTGGGACAGCTGGTTTCTGTTCACCCTGTCCTTGCCTCCCCCCCCACCCTGGCCCCCGGCTAAACCACCACTGCTGTACAGAAACCTATCTAAGCCTATTCAGCTTCTATTCATTGCTAATTGATAGGTTACGTAATTGGGCAAAATTTGGCAAATGGAATATAATATGGGAAAATGTGGAGTTGTTTGGAAAGGAGAACAAAAGAAATGGAGAAAACAGCAGAAAGCTGCAACACTGAGCATGTTTGGCAGCATCTGTGGGAAGAAAACAGAGTTAACGTTTCAAGTCCAGTGACTGTTTAAAACGCAACATCCCTGTGTTTCTTTGACTTTGAGAAGTAGTATAATGAGCAAACACCACATGGGGATTAAAAAAGGAAAAGGAGACAAAAATTATTTTTACAAACGATCTACTTTTATTTGTATGTTTGTATGAGAATGTGCTAATATTCTTTCCCATTTGGCATTAAAACTTTTTTTTGCTAATACACTTCTTTAAGTTGGTGGACTGCTGACCTAAACTCCATTTCAATTCAAGACTGATAACTGACCTGTTAACATAAAAGCATAGTTAAGTGTAATGACACTGACTTAAAAAGATGTTTGTATCGCATTGCACCTTTCCAAGCATTTGCAGTTGTTCCCTATTGGTTGGATAAATAATTGGTGGGAAGGGCATTAATGTCCGTGTTGTATTTGGTGATCCTGCAACAGTATCGTGCATACTACCTGTCGCATTTGCAGCTGCAGTGCCTGTATTAATGATATTTTCCACATATAAAACTGCTTCTAAAATTTTTTGTAGTTGGTCTGTCATGGACTAAGTTGTACCACTAGATGGCATCTGTTCTTTTAATGTGCTAATAGTAAGGTAGAAATTGTTTATATCGTGCAAAATCAAGTGAATTCCACACAAGCTTGACTGCACAAGGTATTGAAACAGGTTAACAAGACTATGATTAAAATAGAAAATTGTTACTGTAATAATGCAGGAAATTCAACTGGAAGGGAACAAAAACAAATTGCTGGAGAATCCAAGCAGGGCTGGAAGCAACTGTAGAGAAATCAGAGTTGGTGTTTCGTTTCCAGTGACCCACCTTCAGAACTCTGGAAAGGAACATTGTTTATTGTTGAACACGAAAATAGATCCACTACTCATGGTGTGCATAGGCTAGTCCCAGCCCGGGACAGACATTTCTGCAGACCCATCTCTGGGCTAGCTTTATTTTTGTTTTGGGTGTTAGCATTTTCTCATCAACCTGTTCAGAAATGTTATTAACACAACTCTGGAGTAGATGTGACTTGAACAGAGGCTCTCCTGATAGAGGTAGGAAAACTACCACTGTTCCACAAGAGCCCCTACTGGGTCTGCTTTGTTTTTAATCAACCTGTTCAGATATGTTATGACACATCTCTGCAGTAGGTGGGACCTTAACCCGGTCTTCTGAGGTGGGAACACTGCCACTGCACCTCAAGAACCTCATTAAGTCTGCTTTTATAATATTTTCTAATCAACCTGTTCAGAGATATTATTATGCACCTCTGGAGCTGATGGGACTTGAAACCCAGGCTTACTGGCTCAGAGGTAGCGATATTACCACTCAACCACAACAGCCCTTTGGGTTTGCTTTAAAAAGTTTTTGATATTTTTTATTCAGTGTTTGTGTTTTTTAATCAATCTATTCAGAGATGTTATTACACCTCTCTGGAACAGGTGGAACCCAGGCTTCCTGGCCCATTGGGCCTGCTAATTTTTTTTTATGTGCAGAAGTATTAGCACACAACTGAACAATTTTTCTCCTCATCACAAAATCACAGAGATTTTCTTTTAACTACTAACCACTACCGGTAGTCACCTATGTAGCCAATTAGATAGTTACGTGCCAAACCCGTTCTGGGGTGGGCCTACTTTATACATGATTTCTGTTCAGAAGCATTGTTTAGCACCACTGGAGCATAGTCATAGAGATGGAAACAGACTCTTTGGTTCAAGTCATCCATGCCAACCAGATTTCCCATTTAGTCTAGTCCCATTTGTCAGCATTTGGCCCATATCCCTCTTAAACCCTTCTTATTTTTATGTCTATCCAGATGCCTTTTAAATGTAATTGTACCTGCCTTCACAAATTCCTCTCGCAGCTCATTCCACATATGCACCACCTTCTTTGTGGAAAAAGTTGCCTCTCAGGTCCCTTTTCAGTCTTTCCCCTCTCACCTTAAACCTATATCCTCTAGTTTTGGACTCCCCCACCCCAGGGAATGGACCTTGTCTATTTACCCGATCCATGTCCCTCATGATTTTATAAACCTCTATAAGGTCACCCGTCAGCCTCTGATGCTTCAGGGAAAATAGCCTGAGCCTATTCGGCCTCTCCCTATAGCTCAAGCCCTCCAACCCTGGCAACATCCTTGTAAATCTTTTCTGAACCCTTTCAAGTTTCACAACATGCTTCCTATTAGCAGATGGGGGCTTGAATCTGGGCCTCCTGGTCCAGTGGCAGGAACTCTACCACTGTACTATAAGAGCTCCCTGAGTCTGCTTTTTTTCCCTAAAAGTAGGATAAGCATTAAGGAACCAGTGCAGTTGGCTATGCAAATCAAAATATTGGACTAGTGAATCTTGAACTCGGGTTTCCTGGCTCAGAGAAGGGGTACTACCATTGCACTAAAGAACCTCTCTGGGTCTGCTTTATACATATTTTTAATCAACCTGTTCAGATGTGTTATGAAGCCTCTTGAGCAGTTGGGACTTGAACCCAGGTAGGGACACCATCACTGAACCGCAAGAGCCTTTCTGGGTCTGCTATATGGTTTTTAATGTATGTTATCTAATCAACCGATTCAGAAATGTTATTACCCACTGCTGGTGCAGGTTGGACTAGAACCCGGGCTTCCTGGCTCAAAGGGAGGGACAGTACCACAGTACCACAACAACCACATTGGACAGTTATGGAGTATGTTGGACTTGAACCAGGAACGTCCTGGCTCAACTGCACTACAAGAGCCCCCATGTCTGCTTTATATATTTTCCTAATCATCCTGCTCAGAGATGTTATTGAACACCTGTAGACAAGGTGGGACTTGAACCCAGGCCTCCTGGTTCATAGTGCTTGCCACTATGCTATTAGATCCCTGGATCTGCTTTTTTAAATTTTCTAATCAACCTGTTCAGATGTTGTATACCTTTTGGAGCAGGTGGGACTTGAATCTGGTCCTCCTGGTTCAGAGATAGGGACACTACTCCACTCAACTACATTAAATCCTCCTGGGACTACATTATGCTTGTTTTCGAACCAGGGCCAGTTCATTTGTAAAGCAAATACGACAGCCACTACACCTCAGAAACAGGGTGCCTGGGTCTGCTTTATCTTTTTTATATCCGGAAGTGTTGTCACACACCAATGAACAACTTTCCCAAATCACTCTGCCATTTTGTTTAGTTTTTGACTATTAACAACCACTAGTAATCACCAGTGCAGCCTTTCAGAACCTTACAAGCAAAACCAATTATGGGCAATGCAAAGGGTTTGTTATATAAATATTATCCTAATCAACCCGATCAGAGATGTTACACCTAATCAGAGATGTTAAGATGCACCTCTGGAGCAGGTGGGACTTGAAACCCGGGCTTCCTGGCCTCAAAGGGTCCACAAAGTTTGGTTTGGAGCCCTGTTTTCTTAAAAAAGCTGAACTTCAGGAGGACGTAGGATTGGTAGGCAGCTGGCAGATGAAATTGAATACAGAGAATTTTGAAGTGGTTCAGTTTTGAGAAGAATGAGGAGAGATGACGTAAATTAGAGTACAGCTCAAGTGTGCAGGAGCAAAGGAACCTGGGAGGCTGTGCACATTGTTAAAAATAATAGGAACAAAAACAGTTGCTGGAAAAGCTCAGCAGGTCTGGCAGCATCTGTGAAGAAAAAATCAGTTAACGTTTTGGGTCTGGTGACCCTTCCTCAGAACTGCTGAGCTTTTCCAGCAACCTCTGTTTTTGTTATGATTTACAGCATCCGCAGTTCTTTCGGTTTTTAATAAAAATGATTAGAACAGATTGAGAAAGTTGTTAATAAACCATATGCGATCATGAGTGTTGTAAATAGGGAGAAAAGAAAGCAAAAATACTCTGATAATGAGCAAAAACAGAAGTTGCTGGAAAAGCTGAGCAAGTCTGACAGCATCTGTGAAGAAAAAAAAGGTCAGTTAACATTTCAGGTTCTGTGACCCTTCCTCAGAACTTTTTTTGTGTTATGGCTGTGGTTTGATAAACCTGTATAAGACACTAGTTCAGGATCAGTTGAAATATCCAATTCTATGCGCACATTTCAGGAAGGATGTGCAGGTATTGGAGAGGGTGCATGAAACGGTTCATGAGAATGGTTCTGGAGATGTTCAGTTTGAGTTACATTGAAAGATTGAATAAGTTGGAGTTGTAATCCTTAGAGAAAAGATTTGATCAAAATTAAGAGTCTGAGACATGGGGACAAGCTGTTTGAGTTGGTGCAGCAATCTGTAGCCAGAGGACACTGTTTAAGGTGATTGACAAAAGAAGAATGGTAATGAGGAAGATCCTTTTTAAGCAGTGAATGGATAGAGTATTAGTACACTGAATACAGTGGTGTAGATTCATTTGAATATATTCAGAAGTGAATTTTATGAAGAGCGAATTTGAAGAACTATGGCTAAAAGGTGGGAGAGAGGGACTAACTGAATTACTCTTTGCAAAAACTGTCATGCAGTTGTTGGCCTAAATTACTTTCTGCAATGTGTAACCATCCTGTAATTCTAAATACAGAGCAAGGGAAAATGATGTGTGGAGAAGAAAGAGAACCAAGGAGAAAGCTGAGGTGGAGAATAAATTCTAACATCCATCACCTGAGTGCCACTGCCTTTTCTGAACTTGTATAGGAAATGCAAAACCTCTCTTTTGTATCAACTTTCGTAAAGACACTTTACAGATGAAAGCACCAATTTTTGTAATAAAAGAAAAATGCTAGAAATACTCAGCAAGTTTAGCAAAGTTTGTGATTTATTTGCCTATCGTGGACTAGAGAAGCATTGATTCAGGATGTGCATTAGCGAGGATGTAATATAGCAAATGCCCAAGTTATTACACTTACCATCAGTCGTTTCTGCATTCAAGTCCCACTTGAGAATATATGATCTTGTCTTGAACTCCTGTGAAATAATGAAGATGTGCATTTTCTCAGATGCTGTCCTTTATTAATCCAAGAATTCATTTGCCTGTTTTGATGACCCAGGTGACAATTCACTTCTCATGATGGTAACTGTAGAGATTTGCTGGAATTTTGGCTATTGTTTTTCTATCAACCAAGACATCATTGGCTGCGGATCAGTTGGCCTGAATATGTCAACAGCAGTTGACTGTTTCTAAGTAATTTGGAGTAAATGAATAGCTCTGTTGACTTTGAAGCACTATTAAGTGCTGACAGCTGCAAAAGTTGGTAATTTTAACATGACTTCTCCTTTCACTTTGCCAGAAAGTACTGCAGACAAAGAAGGATTCCTTGATAAAGGCCACTATTGCCAGGTTACCTGTTCCAGCAGTAGTTCCACTGCTTCAAGAGGTAAGGTTTCTGGAATGGAGCTGATAACTTTAGAAAAATGCATCAACAGGTGGCAACAAAAATGACTTTGTACTGTATTTTTAGCATCATCAAAATATCCCAGGGCAGTTCAGAGTTTTCAGAAATAATTGGGCACCGGCTCAGTGAAATGGTAGATTGGGTGGCCAAAGATATAGACTTTCCCTTAAGTACTGTTGTTTAACAGCTTGCAGCAAGTTTTCAGTCGACAATGAGGTCAGAGAGTATGAAGATGTAAAACTCCTGAATAATAATTCTTGATGAATTGCCTATGGTTTATATTGATAATACTTAAAAGTTCCAAATTGTACTTGTTTTATTTTTTTATGGAACTTCAGCTCGGCTAGCTTGTCCTTCTAATTACGTCTACCAGCTGACTTGTATGGGAGGATCTCGTAGATGTGTGATTCAGTTGTTGAATTTTAGCCCTCAATAGTGATATTTTGGACATTTTTAATTGCATAATAGTTGGTACAAAATTTGTCAGTTTGGTTTGATCATGTCAGCAATAAATGGCCATAGCTATATTGATGCCACTAGCATTGATTTTTATTCTTGAATTTTACTGAGAAATCGTGTTCCAACAAATAATGGAATTTTGTGTGTCATATTTGCGGATTGTGAAAGTTGTGTACGTCTACCAATCCCACCAAAAGCCTAGTTAATTCCATTATTCCCCAAAACCAAATCTACTGAAATATTATCACCTGTCCCTTAAAAGTGCCTGGCATTTTAGATGCGGACGGACTTGTACAAGAAACCTTTAAATATGCAAACTGAGAACTGATTAGATCAATTTCAAGTGACGAGGCCTTGACCTTGTCTTGTTTAGTTTTTTCTTTCCCTCCATTTTGAGGAAGTACTTGAGTTTCACCCCTACACCTCAGGAATGCAGATGGAATTGTTAGATTGAAATTTTGAAATGAGGCATTACAGTGTTTTAATATGGCACCATGTTCAATACCTGTATTTATTTTTTCTCCCCAGATCACAAAGCGATTACAAGGTCACCCATACAGGTGAGGTTTAAATTTCATCGCGATTTCTTTTCAAATGGTTAGTTGTAAATTGTAATAATTTTTGTATACAGTTGGCGTACCTTTAATGACTTTGTTCATCTACATATAGTGCAGCACTAATGGTCAAGTGGCTAAAAGCAGTTTTCACTCTGCATGCTTCCTATCTGTCTACGGTAAGTGATACTGTTTGTTTCGCTCAGTCTCGCTAGTCGTACGTTAAATATTACACTGGGTGTCTGTGGGGTTTTAAAACTTTTAATTCAGGTTAAAACATCTGGATTGCCGATTAAAGGTGTGAGGGTTAGAGAAACAAAGTTGCATCTATTGACAGACCTGAAGCACATAACTGTGGCTTTCTGGTTCCTTAATATTGAGATGCAAGATCAATTTCTTCGCGCTTTCTGCCTGCTCACCTCGTGGCAGTTTGGATTGAATAGAGGAAAACACAAAGCTTCTATCATGAAGGTGTCATTGTGTTGTATCTTTAAATGTATAACTGTATCTTGTTGACCTTCATACAAAGTGAGGTTTACCATTTGGCCTTCTTGGCTGTCATAGGCATGTGTATACTGGGATTGGATGTTGGGTGAGATTTTAAGTTTTCTGATTCTGGTAAAGAAGGGAGCAAAACTAAAGTGGAAAAAATATGGTTTCTAAAATTTTCACTGGTTTTTATGGCTTTAATGAGAATCTTGGGAAGGTGGCGCTGTAAAAATTATGGGAATGCCATCTGGTTCTCGAAGTTAGGCTTAATAATCGTCAAGCTTTACGCTTTATATATTTAAATATGTATGTTTAATTAGTGTGGTTTTAACTGCAACTTTCATTTTACACTTCTTGCTGTTGCTTAGCTTGGATTAAAATGGTTGATTTCATTCTGCAGTTGCCTGATCTTGTACCACAACTTGGAGTTTTGTACCAGCTAATGGAGAGCAGAGTGAAAACGCTACAGAAGCTCTCTCGGCTGCATGGCAAGCTTTTCCTTCTTGTTACGCAGGTAAGGAGTGGATGTTTGCTATTGGGAATACTTTGAGTACTAGACATTCAGTGAATGGATGTGTAGTCCATTGATTGTATGCATATTTTGATTATGTAGTCCCTTTCACAAATCCCAATTGCTTTGCTTGCTTTAAGAGATGTTACTTTTGAGATGCATGCTTGGGTTTTCAGGTGTTCCACTTATATCTCTAACTACAACTGAGAAGGTAGAATCACTAGTAAATGACATGAGAATATCTGTGTTGCTCCTGTGTTGGTGTAACGTGCTACCCAAATAGGAGCCAAATGCGTATGGAATCATTCCTATCATTGGTGAATTGCTGCTCTTGATTCATTATTGCCTCATTAGGATGCCTGAATTGTACCTAGTCTTGTTCTTTAATCATATGTTTTGATATCAACATGACATTCCCTTGCAATTGCTAATGTTGGCCCGTGTAATGAGAGTACTTCTGAAACTCAGTTGTTGTTAATTCTCATTTGATATTTCTCAGGTTGCAGCATCAGAAAAAGCCCAAGACATAAGCAGTGTGAACCAAACTGCAAAACTGGTTTATGAGGAAGGTAAGAAATAATCATAAATGTCTTCTGAAGACATTTTAGATTTCTATCTTAGATGAAGACGGCAAGATGATAAGCAGTGTAAGGTTGAACTTGTCTGCCAGTTTTAATGTATCAAAATCATCTTGACTTTGCAGCAGTGTTATCAAAAAGATGAATACTGATCCAAAGGGAATAATAGGAAATGTGGTCAATAGCTTGAGTTTTATGAGACAAATTAAAGAACTGATGGGATGCAAAAAGGCACCATGGTGTCAGGAAAGAATCCAAGTTTGGGGCCTAGATGTTAGAAGGCATGGCTTCCCCTGATGAGTTGAAAGGGATAATGCAGATTTCAGAAACAGGAACTTATTTTGTGAGGGGGTGTTACAGATGTCAATACAAATCTATTGCAGACCTAAAAGTTTAATACTGTGTAACTTTTTTGGATTTATTCAGAGATGCAAAATCAAGTTTCTTTGCACTTTCTGCCCGATTATTTTGTAATAGCTCATTTTGAATAGAAAAGACATGCAGCAGGCAAAAGCATATAATGTACATCATTAAATCTGTTCCAACAACCCTTTCGTTTTCTGTGACTTCCGAATCAAAACTGGCTGCTTTGTCCTTCTGATACATTGGAAATCATTAAAAAGAGACTGTAGAAATGGGGGTTGTATTTGCAGATTGTTGATATTAGCTGAGGTTATTTTGTTTCTGTCGTTCTAGAATCATCGGAAGAAGAAAACTCTGAAGATGACCTGATGGCAGATCAGGAATCTGACGTAAGTGTAGCAAACTAGCCCCCAGCCGGCAGAAGTGCCCTTCCATTGTCATATATCAGTGACTTTATTTCGAAGTTTGAAAATTGTTGCGTTCCCCCTCAATGAAGACTGAGCACAGGAGTATCACTGTTATAACACTGTCTGAGCTGTTGCTACTTCAGAGCTTGCAGTCCCAAAATTTCTGCTAGTGAGCCTATGTGGGCTCCCAACACCCTACTTTAGGAAATCCGGTCATAGATCAGTTTAACTTGAAAAGAAACAGCTTTTTGTTTTGTCTATTTGGATTCATCTTAATTTCTTGCCATTTTGACTTTCACTTTTCCTTCAGTATCTGTTCTGACATGTTTAAGGAGTGAACTGGTGTTATTTATTCCGTGCTGTAATTTCGCTGAAATATGTGGTTTTCTAGTGGCTGTTAAGTAACAGAATGGGATGTGTAGACCCTTGTTACAAAAGTGTTGCACTATAGTATAACAATTTTTTGAGATCCTGTTGACACTGCAAACCTCTAATATTTAATAATCGTAATTAGGTTCCTTCCACTGCAGTTGCCAAACTAGTACAAATTCTGATGTTGAATTGGGATGAGTTTCCTTTATTTCCCCTTTTGAAATCCGTTTCTGTCCTTGCTCAGATAATGGAGCTTTGTATTGATTGTTGAACTATTTCCCACCTTGATCATACGTTCAAGAGATGCCATATCGAGTATAATGTACCCATTGACAAAATTCCCTCACTGCTTTTCAATAAAGTCGGCGGGGGCGGGAGGATTTCCACCTTTTTCTTGTAGCAAAGTCAAACTTGAATATAATAGATTTGTTTATGATGTTGCTGACCATGACAAAAGTAACTTTCCATTGCACTTTTCATTTTCACACTCAGAGCACATTATGCTGTGCAAGTGTGAATTCTGCCAGTTTTTAGGTTTGTTCACTAGTCTTGGGAAAGATTCCAGTGCAGTACCAACCTGACATAAGTTGGGGCCAACTACTTGTGAGTTTGCACTATGTCCACTAGGAATGTAATTGACCCTGTGCAGTGGTTTCATTTCACATCATACCATTGGAATGTACAATTCCCTATTCTGCATAGTGTCCTGAAGTGTAAACCATTTTACAACCCACAAAATTGATATGCCGCACCATGATTTTCTGTCATTTCACATCTCCTTTTCATTTGATTTTTGACCTGTTTTGTTTTGAGAGAGAGCTAACTGCGTTAATGTAGGTGTTGCTGAAGAAAACGTATTGTTGGAGCTTTCCATCTTGTAGCCATCAGAACATTTTGCAAGAATATCAATTCAGTGGGAAAACTAACATTTATGTTGCATGAGAGGAAAGTGCTGATTGGCAGATGAAATCTGAAAGAAGCATTGCCATGTTGAATTGATGCAAACCCATCTAATGTTGGGCACTTGCAAGTTTTGTAAGCACAGGCTGATTGGGCACAGTCAGTACTCTGCCTGTTACAACTGCTGAAGGGCTGTGCTGTTTATGATCCACCAGTCTTTAAGACATATGGCCAACAAACTTAGTATCACAGTGGTGCTGAAATCGATTTACCATTTTCATATACCATTTGCATATACCAAATTCATGTATCATTTGTCTGACAGGCAGAACATAATTTTGACTTGACAGCATCATCCTGTTAGTGATGAACACCATTTGTGCTGCTACTGTACAGTAGCAGAGTGAAATAGCTAAGTTCATCTGTTGCACAAATTTGAGATACCTTGCCTTTCCCAGGGTAATCTGAGATAGACCGGGCACTATTCAGGACATCGAATGACTGCCTTAGGACCTTCCATGAGTTTGTGCTGTATACAGTGAGAAATAATGTGATCAGGGTGGCCGTTGTCTCCCAAGATCATTTTCATATGTCCTATTCCAACAGCACGTTTGTACAGCGAACAAATGGATTGGGCAATACTTACTAGGTTGCTAATAATGTCAATCTTATAGAATTCCTACAGGTCTTCGTGCTAACAAAAATACCGAGCAGTAAATGTAGCTTTGTTGTTGACAATACTAAAGAATCCCCACCTGATTTCTCAACTAGGACCAATGAATAAGAAGAGTTCGGTATTGCAAAAGTTTGAGCAACCGCTGTTTCACACTGCCACTCAACACTAGTGTCTGCCTCGAGCAGAATGCTGCCTTCAAGACAAAGATGATCTGCCTATCTCAAATCGATGGACTGGTATGAATTTCAGTGCCAATGTAATACCAGATGTGTAAACTCTACAATGAGCCAAAAGATTGGCAGATCGTATCAAACAGCATATCTCTTTGGCTGTTTACAACAAGCAGGGTACTGTCCATATCCAACCAGGCCACACCTACAAAATTCACAACACACTATCCAACCTGAATATTATTCTACGACTGATGACATTTGTTGGGTAATCCTTCATGTGTAAGGAATTATGCTGACCACCAATTCAGGACTGTCATTCAGGTTCACGTTGTGGTCCTTTTGAATGCACTAGAAGCTACATACATTGATATACAAGTCCTTGCAGTCAGAAAGGATATGAGCTGCATCTGTTTCAAGTCAACAAAAGTGGCAGCTGTTTTCTGGTTTAATCCTTGGCATTGCACTGGCCAATCGGATTTAACTGCCCTTGCTTAAAACATAAGTGAAGACTGGCTGTTAACTGTCAATCAGAATGAATGGGTACATTCTCTCTGTCAATTCCGCCACCCTTCAAAGTCCAGTTGCCAACCAGTCTGCACCCCCCTCTTATGCAGTGTGTGACTTTCCCCTTGAACTTGCCAAATTTAAAGCTTCCACCAAGTATGGCTATTATCAGCATACTCAAGTTCTGAACTGCCAAACATCTTAATCAAGTTTACCTCAACATTTGTTTCTGGCTGATCCTGTCTGTCTCCCTACTCGAATTTGGATAGGTCATGTTAGCGCTCATCTTCCTTGAGTGGCCAAGCATTCAGATTGTTTAGTTTTGCAAATACAAAGACTGAATGAATATGGGCACGAGAAAGCACTGTCCATTCCATAGATTTCGAGTCTGACCAAATTATTCTTTTGAGGGGGAAGACCTTTGAATTTTATTTAAAAGGCTGCTGATTGATTAAGATGAGGAAGTTGCATCTGTTGACAGATTCGAAGCAGATTACTGTGGCTTTCCAGGTTTTTTTTAACAGTTAGATGCAAGATTAATTTTCTTGTTTTCTATTTGATCTCATAGCAATTCAGATTGAATAGAAAAATATATATAGCTAAAAAAGTTGAATCATACAGATTAGACATCATCTGTGCACGTAGCTGTCTGAAGTTGCTTATCAAATGCATTAGTTTTCCTTTGGTACTGTTGCCCATGTCTCAAAATCAGTAATTGGGAGAAAACCAGCAAATTGCTTCGTGAGCAATGCATAAAATTGCTTCTGAGGTTCATTGAACCCGAAACGTTAACTCTGATTTCTCTCCGCAGATGCTGTCAGATTTGCTGAGCTTTTTGAGCAATTTCTGCTTTTTTTGTTACAAAATTTCTGAAATAGTTGTTTCTGGGACTCGGGGCAAGATGCACATACAGGGCTAATGGTTTATTTACCAAACATGGAAAGAAATCCTGGGATCAAGAGCATTCAGATCGTGCAAGCTATGTCTGCAGTATTGCTTAGAGTTTGCACTTTGTGATCTGATAATGATCACGATCCTGATCATCTGACCATTGGAAGTCAGCCTGTTTTAGGTAGGTTAACAATTCCAGCCTGCAGTTTCATGGTGCGTTGAAAATACTGACGTATGATAAAACGTAATGTCTCAGGTACACGCCAAGTCTAGGTTTGAGTTGAAACTGAGTAAGTTGTGCAGATGGCCTTAACATCAAATAAGCTGGCATCTATTGTAAGCCCACATTTTTGTTTCCAAAATACAGTCGAGCTTTGTTGCACAATGGATAGTTATAAGAAAATTTGCTCGCTGTTTCTTAATCTTGGATCATCACCATGCTTCTTTATAAAAAGAATGTTAAGTTGTGGCATTATTGTAATGCATATCTAATATTTTAAAACTAGGAGAATTGGGAGGACGATGAAGAGGAAAGAATGGATGACCCAAAAATGCGCATTGAAAAAGAAATCAGTGAAGACTCTGGAGAGGACATGCATACAGGAAATGAAAGTGAAGAGGAGTGAAACCATTTTAGAAAAACAAAAATATTGACTGCATTCTCAGCATATTTGGGCCAATGAATTTGACCTGGGCATCTGAATTTGTTTATTTTGCCACTCAGAAGCTTCCTTTATTTTTTAGTTTGGAAAGCAAGTGACAGACTGCCAGTGTGTTAAGAACTGTTTGTGCACTTTGAATTCCAAGAAATATTTGACTATATTGATGGTGCACAGTTCACAAATATATATTTCTGCAACCATGTTTCTAGTGCAGGTCGTTTTTGGACCACATTTATACATGGAGTGATTTACCACAGACAGAAATGTGGCAGTAACTCGTGATCACTTGGAAGGCGGACAGATGGTCAGCTAATTCATGGCTACTCCCGTTGCATTTTAACCTGACCTGGGACGTAATATGGATTTGACATGTACAACGTCATGGAAATTTTCCCAATTATTTTGGTTTTGGCAATTGGCCAGCTAGTTCCCATGTTTTCAGGTTAGTATGTTGCAGTATGTAGTCATTGGCTAGTTGACAGAATTATGTATATTTGTCTATAAATCAATGGTTTTCAGCAATTAATGCTGTGTTCTCCTTTGTAAAGTGAATAAATCCGATTCTCCTTTACAATATTGTGTTCATGGTCTTTAAGGTCATTGACAGCATTCAGTAAAAATGCAGAGTTTTGAAAAAGACATTCATTATATTGTATCATGACCCTTTAATCCCCCAAAAACACGACTAATTAAAATATAGTTTGAGTATGTACCCTGGGTGGTGATCTATCTTGGGACTGTTGGAAACCTGGCTGGTTTCCCTGGCATTATTTTTAATTGAGTGTTGCACTGCTCTGTATCCTTGTAATTCATTTCACTTAAATGATTTCAGAAAATCTGTATAGGCATTCTGTCAAATTCTCTCCCCATTTTTTCTCTTATTCTGCATTCCAATTCCGTTTTTTTGGTTCATCAGACAGATTCTTTCCAGTTCAGATGCTTGTTTTTCAATTTTTTTTTATCCTTTGTTGGGGTTTCAGCTATGGATTTCTAGGATGTACGGAGAACCGCTCCTGTTTGGTCTGGTTGATGCTAGGGAGCTGTGAGAAGTAATGATAATGATTGTTTGCTGGACCCAATGTGGAATCAAACCATCTTGTTCTGTAAAAGCAACGAAACCATTAGGGAGCCAAATTTTGTGTGGTTTTTCCACACAACTGCCTAGTTAAAATTCCCGTACTTGTTTTCCCTGTTGATGCTGATGTTGTAAACGAACATGATGAATTATTTTGCCAACCATGCAAAGTTTCTTTCACACTCCTACAGTCTCCCATGAAGGTTTGGATAATGGGAATTCAGCTGTTAAAATCTTTTTTCATTATAATTTGCTTTTCGATAAGTGAACAGCAAGAGATGATTTATTACCATGGTGATTGTTGCCACAGAGCTTGAATAAAATAGAACCTATTCAGTGCTGTTCTAATGACCCTGGACTGAGGTACATACGACGTTGGAGTGCTGATTAGAAGGTAGGTCTTTCATTAGCCCTTGCTGTATACTGAGCTTTAACACTGATGGGAATATGGGACATTTTAGTGCTGTTAAAGTGTTAATATGATTTGATTGCAGAGAGGATTGGATACTTCAGGATTGTTTTTGTGTCCTTTCTTCCTCTTCGCACATTGAAAACAGGGATGGATACAAGTAGAAATATATTCACATGGTGAAATGTAATTGATTATATATTGTATACAATGTTCTATGATGATGCATATGGAATAAGAGGTTTCTTGAGGGCACAAGGAGTTGTCAGATATTTTGGATATTTTATTTGTTTGGTGGTAATTCTTTCATTTCAACGCATGAGAAATTATGACCAGTTCTTTGACAGCGCTGAATAGGATCCTGCAGCATTGAGTGTTATCGGGGGTCCAGGAGCAGAGGAGAGGGCTGGATGGGTTTTTAGGCAGGTTTTGGAATCCTAGATCAAAAGCACCTACCATTGGAGAATTGTACCAGTTAGCTGATGGCTGACTGTTGAATATTTAATATAAATCAGGTAGGTTGAAAGATTAGATAAAATGTTGCCCTCAGGAATGAACCATAGAGTGGTTGTTGTGTTTTTAGTTGAAATAGATGCTGTATAGATATCCTTTCCGTCTACAAAGATCGTGGCCCTATATTTTAATATATATATAGTTTCCGATAGTAGCAAGTGCAACACACTAACAATCTTAAATTGATTGTCGGCATAGTTCTTAGTGTGCACAAAATTTATTTTGCAAGTGTTGTCCAGTCACAGAATTATGTTAGTTTGACACTGGGTTCTGCAGCACAGGCTATTTGAATATATTTGGTACTTTTTGTCTATTACAGAAAGCCAAAGGAACATGATGCTTGAGACAATCCACCAGTTTTTGGGACTTATAGCCTACATACGTGGTATCTCCTCAGCACTCAAATTGATATACCACATTCCTCAGTTTTCTTTATTCATTTATAGGATGTGGGTGTCATTGGCTGGCCAGCATTTATTGCCAGTCCCTAGTTGCCCTTGATAAGGTGGTGATGAGCCACCTTCTTGAACCACTGCAGTCCACCTGCTGTGGTTTGACCCACAATTCTATTAGGGAGGGAATTCCAAGATCTTGGCCCGGCGACAGTGAAAGAATAGATATATTTCCAAGTCAAGGTGGTGAGTGGCTTGGAGGGGAACTTGCAGGTGGTGGTGTTTCCATATATCTGCTGCCTTTCTCCTTCTAGATGGAAGTAGTTACGAATTTGGAAGGTGGAGTCTGAGGATCTATGTGAATTTCTGCAGTGCTTGCAGATACTGTACACTGCTGCTATTGAGTGTCGGTGGTGGATGTTTGCGGGTGTGTTTCTAATCAAGCAGGACACTTTGTCCTAGATGATGTCAAGCTGCTTGAGTGTTGTTGGAGTTGCATCCATTCAGGTAGGTGGGGTGTCACACTCCTGACTTGTGCCTTGTAAATGGACAGGCTTTGGGGAGTCAGGAGATGAGTTATCCCCACAGTATCCTGAGCCTCTGACCAACTGTTGTAGCCACTGTGTTTATCTGGTGAGCCTGTTGAGTTCCCTGTCAACAGTAACCCTAAGGATGTTGATAGTGGGAGATTCAGTAATGGTAACACCATTGAATGTCAAGGGGCAGTGGTTAGATTGTCTCCTATTGGAGATGGCCATTTCTTGGCGTTTGTGTTGCATGAGTGTTACTTACCATTTGTCAGCCCAAGCTTGGATACTGTCTGTTTTTGAACATGGGCTGCTTCAGTACTGTAGATTTGTGAATGGTGCTGAGCATTATGCAGTCATTGGCAAACGTCCCCTTTTCTGATTTTTATAGTGGAGGGAAGGTCATTGATGAAGCAGCTGAAGATGATTGGGCCTAAAGAACCCCTGCGGAGATGTTGTGGACCTGTGATAACTGACTTCCAACAATCAAAACCATCTTCCTATGTGCCAGATATAACTCCAACCAGTGGAAAGTTTGCCCCCGCTACCCATTGATTCCAGTTTTGTTCGCGTTCCTTGATAGCACACTGGAATGTGGCCTTGATGTCAGGAGTGGTCACTGTCACCTCATCTCTGGAATTCAGCTCTTTTGTCCATGTTTGAGCCAATGCTGTGATGACATTAGGAGCTGAGTGGCCCTGGCAGATCCCAAACTGGGCATCAATGAGAAGGTTATTGCTGAGCGGTGCTGCTTGAAGTCACTGTTGATGACACCTTTCATCACTTTACTGTGAGAGTGGTAATTGATTCAGTTGGATTTGTCTGCTTTTTTTTTTTGTGTACAGGACATACCTGGCCAATTTTTCACACTATCGGGTAGATGCCAGTGTTGTAATTATTCTGGAAGAAATAGGTTAGGGATGTGGCAAGTTCTGGAGCACAAGTCTTCAGTACTATTGCTGGAATGTTGTCAGGGCCCGTAACTTTTACAGTATCCAGTGCCTCCAACCGTTTCTTGATATTACATGGTGTGAATGGCATTGGCTGAAGAGTGGAGGAGGCTGAGATGGATCATCCATTTGACACGTCTGCCTGAAGATTGCTGCAAAGCTTCAGCCTTATCCTTTGCACTGATGTGTTGGGATTTTCCATCATTGAGGATGGTGATATTTGTGGAACCACCTCCTCGAGTGAGGAGTTTAGTTATGAACTCCATTCACAACTGGATGAGGCAGGACTACAGACTACAGAGCGCGCGCCACCTGCGTGCGCGCACCCCCCCCCCCCCACATTTAGTGCCCTAGAGAGTCAATGATGAGGACTCATAGGGCAATTCCCTCCCACTGTGCTGCCCACACAGCTGGCTCTGTCCTGCCAATGGGCAGGATGTTTCCAAGAATGGTGATCGTGGTGTCTGAGGCATTGTCTGTGAGATATGATTTCATGATTATGACTGTGTCAGACTGTTGCTTGAATAGTTTGTGAGACAGCTCTATCAGTTTTGGCAGTAGTCTCCAGATGTAAGTAAGGAGGATTTGCAGGCTTGCCAGGGCTGTTTCTGCTGTTGTCTTTTCCAGTGCCTAGTTCGATGCCAGGTAGTCCGTCTGGTTTCAGTTCTTGAAACTTCATAGTGATTGATACAACTGAATAGCTTGCTAGGCCATTTCATAAAGCAATTGGGAATCAACCACATTGCTGTGTGTTTGAAGTAAAATGTAGACCAGACAAGATGATTATGGCAGATTTTCTTCCTTGTGGGACATTAATGAGTGGGTTTTCTGACAATTGACACTAGTTTCGTGGTTATCAGTCTTCTGTAGCAGAATTCACACCCGGGTCCCCAGAACATTGGCTGAGTTTCTGGATTAATCATCTAGATTTAATACCACTAGGTCATTGCCTCCCCACTTTTTGGATTGGAAAGTTGTATCAAGTGGGGTATCACAGGAATTCTGCCTGAACTGTTGGTGATCTATATTAATATCTTGGATGAAGGGCCCAAATGTATAGTTGCTAAAAATTGATAATGGCAATAAGTAGGAGTGTTGTCTGGCAAAACCACTGTACTGAATTAGATTTTGAATGGATCTAATACCCATAAGGCACTACGGGCTGTTGGCAGCAGCAACATAATCTGCAGCCTCGTGCCTTGGCATATTCCCACCTTTCCACCACCAGCAACAAAAATTTGCAGGACGACACCAGGAGCACAATGAATATACTTAAAAATGAGATGTCACCTTGATAATGCAACAGTACTTGCATGCAAAACAGCAAGCAATAAACAGAGCTAAGCTATCTGTTGAATAATAGCTCAGTCCTAAGTTCTAGAGTCCTACCATGTCCATTTGTTAATGACAATGAGCTGGAGTTAGAGGCTCTGTCAACTTCTGCATCTTTAATCATGGGACTCAGCATATCAACGGCAGTCCCAATAATCTTCAGCCAGAAAGGCTGAGTGGATGATCCACCTCAGCTATCTTCAGTCTCCAGCATCACAGCTGCCAGCCTTCAGCCAGTTTCATTTAGGCTGTATGATATGAAGAAAAGACTGAAGGCACTGGACACCAAAAAGCTATGGGCCCTAAAAACGTTCATGCAAAACAATTGAAGACTTGTACTGCAGAACTAGCGGTGCTCCAAACCCAGCTGTTT